TTATAACAAGAAGGCAATAGTCTCAGAGACATAGGGAAAAACTGATGGTGGCTAGTTGGGGGGGGGGGGGGGATGAGGGAGAAGGGGAAGGGATGAGACAACATAAGTTTGTAACTTCAATATTACCACAGGGATATGAAAGACAGTTTGGGGAATATAGTCAATAATGTTGTAAAGATTTCTTAGGGTGTCAGATGGACGCATTTCTTGTTAGGGAACCACTTAATGGATGGTGTATAGGCCTGACCACTGCACTGTATATCTAAAGCTGCCATTGAATAATATTATCTGTCACTATAATTTAGTGACTACACATGTGATGTGGAGTATAGTGTGAGGAGTGGAGTCAATGGAATTGTAATAGATATGAATGCTATCGTGGGTGGGGGGGCGGTGGATTGGGGAAAGGGGGCTGTCACTTTGTGAGGGGTGAAAAGTATAGCTATTGCATTGTTTTGTACACCTGAAACTAATAAAAAGAAGAAGAAGAAGAAGAAGAAGAAGAAGAAGAAGAAGAAGAAGAAGAAGAGGAAGAAGAAGAGGAAGAAGTAGAAGAAGAGGAAGAAGAGGAAGAAGAGGAAGAAGANGAAGAAGAAGAAGAAGAAGAAGAAGAAGAAGAAGAAGAAGAAGAAGAAGAAGAAGAAGAAGAAGAGGAAGAAGGCAGATTCCCAGGTCCTAGAGAGACTTGGATATCAGGCAGTTTGTATGACAGGGGACAACATGAGGTTCAATAGCAGAACTGGGGTAGAAATTGGGAACCTGGCCTCAGAAAAAAATTGCAGAGGCCCAGTATCATTCAGGAACAGGAAGGATTTGATTCTTTGCACCAGAGAGTTGCAAACACTTTAAATCTCTCTTTTCTGAGGTCAAAATTGGTTCTAAAGGGCTGATGGCAGAGTCAAATGACCCCATCTCTGAGAAGAGGAAGCAAGTAGAGAAAACAAACTGATCATTTTCTAGCAATTCTTAGAGCCATGATATTTATTAGCCTTGTCATCAACAATAACATATGGTCTAGTGCCCGGAAATAAGATCAGAATCGCAAGTAATAAAGTTGTTTGAGTGGATGCTGAATGAATCGCTGGTTGGCCTAGGGATGAAATATGATCTACATGACATAGTTTGCCAATTCAATGATAGAGAAAAATAGAACCTACAATGAAATATTTTTTTTTCTACACACACACAGAAACGCAAACATATCTCAAAAGAATTTTGATGGTGTGACATATGGTAATATGGCCACTTGGCTTCCCGAATAGCATGTGCAAAAAGAAATCAAAGGGTTTATCGAACATCCTTTAAAGAGCCTAACTTAATCAGTATTCTAAAAATATAAAAATGGAGTCTCAATAGGAGGCAAGAATGCGCCAATGCTGATCAGTTCTCATAATTAGGACAAAAATATTA